ATTGAGACAAAAGACTACCGTTTTGTTGTCCATGGCAAACAGGATCATCATATTTTGTAAATTTGGGTTTGCCGACAAAAAGAATAGGACCACTGCTAATTCATTTATATTTATGTGTTTGTCCCAAAGGAAGTTGCTCCACCTTCCTTGATTGAATTCCCCTTTTGAAGAATGGAATCCCCATCCTATTTTGGACGCATCCGTACAAACGACCAAACCTGTTTGAGGTGGAACCCAGGGAGAGGGACCGATTAGATTGTCCCAGTTTTTCCACCATAACAAATGATTCTTTATCTGAATAGGGAGAGAAGAAGCAACTTTTCTGTTTCTGCAAAGCAACTTCGAGCCCAGATGAGATAGTTGCTTTTTCCTTAACTTTCCCAATGGAACCACTATTGTGGCAAAATTCAACAGACCTAGAAGTTTTTCCCAATCGTGCCAAGAAACCTTGTGCTTTACACAAAAGGCTTCTACTTTGTTTATCAAATCTGTTACTTTTGTTCCTGGTAAACTGACTGACTGCTGATTTGTATCCCAGTGGAGGCCTAACCAATCCAACTTTTGATATGGTATTAAGTTTGATTTGACCTGGTTTATCTTTAGACCAAGGTTTTGAAATAGTACTAGTGTACGTTGGGTCGCCCTTTGACAATCTTCGAAAGAGTTTTCCATTATCAGCCAATCGTCTAGATAAGCAAAGGTTCTTATGCCCTCCCTTGCAAGGATCTTTCTGGGAATATTTGCCAGTTTTGTAAAGACTTTTGGTGCAATTGTCAGACCGAATGGCATCACTGTGAATTGATAACTTAATTCCCCTACTTTGAACACCAGAAATTTTCTGTACCTGGGAGCAACAGGAACGTGATAATAGGCATCTTCGAGATCCACTTTTGAGATCCAAGCATTGGGCGGAAGTAGATGCCTCAGATGGTCGTAAGTGAGCATCTTGAAACTTCTTTTGGGAATAAATTTGTTTAGGATTGAAAGATCCAAAATCCATCTTAATTTGTCGCTGCCTTTCTTGGGGACTGGGAATAGGCGAGACAAGAAACATTTCTCTGACTACAGCAGTTCTATGACACCTCTGTTCAGTAGTTGACTTAAAAATTTTGTAAGTAATGGGGTTGGTTTTTTACCCTTCTTTGGGGATGCTAGGGGAGGGTGCCTCAACCAAGTCCATGTGAGACCCCCTTTGATTGTTTTGTAAGCCCATATGGAAGAAGTCCATCTGTTCTCCCAACCCCCTAGACGACCCAGTTGTCTGGCTTCATTGGAAGGGGGAAGTTGCTGAGGTGGTGGAATAAGGTCGCTTTCCGTTTCTGAATAAACGGCCACCTCTATTACTTCTTTGATTATTTTCTCCTCTAAAATTTCCCCTTGGTTGATAACTGCCCTGGGCAGCTGGTCCTGTTCCCCTGTAAAACCTTCCTCTCCTAGGTTTCCGAAAGGTCTGAGGACTCCTGGGGACATTAATATTAATAGTATTCTCCAAAGATGATCTATAATTAATCAATGATTGCTCACCAAACAAAGCAGGAGAAAGAGGAGAAGAACGTATCAACAAATAAGCGCTACCACTTGAAGCATTATTTGTTGCTTGTTTCCTTAGCTGGACTTTCAGTCTTAGGGCTTTCAACAAATGATCTAAAAATGAGTTGTATAGAGAATATGAGATTCCTTGTAGAGCAACAGCAAAACATTTGCCCACTTCTGAATTTTCTTCATAGTCCAGCACAAACTTAGTTAATAACTGACACATCATAATTGCAGACCAAACATCTGCTGCCAATTTCCTAATTTTAAATTCTTCAAGCAGCAGTGCAGGGGCAACTGGTTTCAAATTTTTTTCATTACTTATATCAACATATTTTGAAGCCGACAAATATTGGGAAAGATCATATAAGGAACTCTTTTCGTCATTAAATTGGAACTTCAAAAAACTAAACTTGTGAGCATTCCTGTCAGTGGGAATGAATGTTAAGTCTTTCAATAAATTAGCCCAGACTTTGTCTATTTCAGAGATCATCTTTGGGCAAATATCAGGCCAAGAAAGTGTAGTATCACCCTCCAAAAACAAAGAATGATGACCCAAAGTTGCATGTCCTTCCTCTCTCTTTGTAGTTGCTTAGATATCAGGAAGCTTAGAGACATTTTCATAAAATATCTTGATGGATTAGTGAACAAAGAAGACTTAGCTCTTACCAATGTTATCCATGGCCTGTTAGAATCAACCTTACACTCAATATTATCCAGCAACTGCGTGTCAGTCGACAGCAGCCTGTTTCCACTCGCAGCAACCAACACTTTTGCCCCAGGTGGGAGTGGTTGCCAAGATGTGGATAGGATGAAATCAGTCTCAACAGGTTCTTCCTGCTCAAGAGACTGAATACTATGATTAGAACCAGGCTCATCGTCCTGATCCTGGAACCCACTGAAGTCAGATTGAGTAGATAGAGGTTTCTGTGGACTTCCTACTGCCTCACAGTCTGGAGGGTCCAATAACTTATTTTTCTTAGCAGGAGCAGTCTTGTCTAAGTGGGGATTAAGTCTTTTACCTAACACCAATAAACCTAAGCTTTCTGCCAATGTGGGATCTTTCCATTGTTGTAAATTCAAAAATTTACTCTTCAAGGCCTTATTCCACCTATTTTTAATTTGTAATTGCAATAAATCTTTATCACCTGTAGTTTGATGAAATTGAAAAATTTGATTATAACAAACTGCACACTCCATTGGTTAAAAATAAGTTATTTGAGACACAGCTGCCATAAAGTATGCAAGCCACATGAGGACCTATCTTAGTAATCCAAGTGGCTGTACATTTTTTATAATTACATGTAGTATGGCCCCCTTGGGTCGTGGGTGAAACTACTACTACTGAATTCACATTCTCTACTGACAGACAATTCCTTGAATGTAGTGCCTGAGCTGAACTTTCTAGTCCTTGTGGCTCAGCACTCAATAGTATCTCCTCAGGGACAGTTCCATAGTCTCCTTCATTATCCATAGGCCCGGAGTCCTGACCTTCATCCTCCAGTGGAACATCACTCATATGAACTAGGAGGATACCATGAGTCACATTATATCATTATAACACAAAGTAATAATAATAAGTAATAAGGGGGAAAGCATTTTCTCCCATGACTCATCAATGTTATATTATTCGTAAGTTAGTGTTATACAAGTCACTCCTATGACCAATATAAACAATAACTCACTTTTTCGTATCTGTCTCCCGACTCTTATATCAAGTATCCCTTAGCTCAATGAAACTTATTTATTTAAATTTGTTTTTATAAAATAATTTCATTCAGAACATTTATTGAGAGGGATCATCAAGATCTGTAGTTGTTGCCAATCAGGGGCACAGACATTATCCCCCAAGTAAACACTTAAGGGAAAATTCCTACGTGCGCACTATCACCCGGCAGGGTTGACACTGCTGGGACGCTAACATAGCGCTCTATTGGCAGCAAAGTTCTCTGTTACTCTAGCAATATTTATTGGGTTGAGAAATCCACCCTGAATTGGTCTCATAACCCATAGAAGGTGTAAAGTTTATTTCAACATAACTCTAGATTGCTAGTAAGACCAGAAGGTCAACATTCCGGAAGGAACGCTAAGTCTAGCAGCCTTGCTAAAGTTCGCTTGAACCCTCTACTGAGGACATCAAAGTTATGAAGAGACTAACTCAACTCTGGCCTCTTTGCTGAGAACAAATAGACACCCAAGGGCGGAAGCCCAAAGGTTTTGTGAACGTACATAAGAGTAGGGAGAGAGACAGTCATTGTATTCATATTAGCACGTGAATAATTGGGACAAAGAGATCGTAACCAATATACATATATGTATATGTATACAGTATATATAAATAGATATATTCACATATTCTCTTTTAGTGAAGATGAGCCCGGGAGGGCGCAGCGACATTCACTGAGTGACTTAAAGGCAAGGAATAGTCACAACGATCTAAACGACTCACAAAGAAAATGTGGTTTGGTCGCCATGCTGACCCAAAGTCGTATAAGAAAATGTCCCAAATACAATAATTGAGAAACATAAGATAAAAGTCACTCTACTTCATCACTGTGCTATTAAGTACAAATACCGTATATAATATCCTTGCAGAGGTGAGTATTTCAGCAATTAGAACACAAATTCGCGGAGCTTCCCTTTGTGTGTTTTATAGCTGAATCGCCAGGCAATAGATGAGCTTCTCAGTGCACACGGAGGCTGGTTTGAGGGAGGGACTTTCAAAATAGCAATTAAATGCCAGGTAGCGACGTGTCGTCCTAATATTACTTAAGTAATTATTAGATGTTTTAATTGCCTGTATGTTGGCCTGGCGAATTGGCTAGGAATTAACATACCTAGGTAGCATTGCTGAGCGTCGCATTCAGAGCATTGAACAAAAAAAACATTTATGTTGATGAGAGTCTGAAGCAAGATGTTACCTCCACTGAAAAGACACAGAGACTGACGCCTGTATGGTATGTTGACAGGCTGTTTGGCATGCAAAAAACTAGTTTCCTGTACTTAAATTATGTTAATTAATTGTTAAAATGACTAAAAAAAAATTTAATATAAGACTTTTAAAATTATTGAATAGTACAAACTTCTTGATATTTACTAAAATAGTAAGGAATTTAAGCCCTAGAACCGATTACTGTATTGGCGGACTAATATGACAGCTAGTGTGCAAGCGAAAACATGTTGAGGGGCGCTCGTAAGGAATTCGTTAATCGAGGGAATGCTTGTTAACCGAAGTTAAGAATCTTATGGAAGGTAATTTGTTAACCGAGGGATCAATGTATATATATATATATATATATATATATATATATATATATATATATATATATATATATATATATATATATATATATATATATATATATATATATATATATATATATATATATATATATATCAATTTGCAATGAAATATTTTCAATACATTGTATCCTTATTATTATCTCGCTGCTTGTGGTTTTCCACAGGTCAGTAGTGTGCAGCACCGCTGGGATCCGTATTGTGGAGCTACGAGATCTTCACACCATGGCTTTCCACCACTGGGAGTTTGTCACTCGGCCACCACCACCAGTCCTCCACCTCCCCTGGGCCCAAGTGCCTCATTGGCCATCAGACACACACATTGAAGTAGTGGCAGAGGATAGTCAGGGCAACCTGCTCAAGGGCTGCTTCATGCCGCGGCCACTCTAAGATACGTAGCCGATGGTCAGGTATATACTGTAGCCTCTTACGAGTAGCTAGTATGTGTGGATAAGAGCCTGCTTATTATTTTCTCAATTTAATGAATTACTGAAAACAGTAAAATTCATTATAATACTTTATCTACACAAGCCTTCTGAAGTGCAGACGTATAGACATTATGAGCGCTATACAGTATACAGTATCATATTAATAGATTTACATTGAGCTGCAAATACCATAAATGCAGTTGCTATAGAATTTTTTATTATGCATCTGTTATTAATGAACAATTCCATATTCCATAAGTCTTAGTAAAACCTTAATGATGGAAATAAGTATTGCAGCTTCTAAGGGAAGTGCCATGACATATGTGCTCTCTATTTTGGCTCGTGCTTTAATTACTGTATCTCGTAATCAAAATTTCCTCATGAGCAATATCTCCAGTTACTCCTAGATGCTCTCAACTTTCTCAGCTCACAAATTAAGGCTTCGATTTATTTATGTGAAGGAAAAGCAAAACCAAATATTGATGATGCAGCCACTTCTTTTGCAACTCCCGGCTTGTTATTTTCTGGCCAATTTTTTACAGGTCATTTGAGCAGATAGGAGTGTGGCAGCAAAGGAAATGCAAGTGGACATTGGCAATTTTACTCTTGGCTCTTTTTTTGACCGTGTAGTCTTTTGAGGAACACTGAGGTTGAAGCATTTTGTCATGAGTAAAATTGCCAACATCCACTTGTGTTTCCTGTGCTACAGCATTCCCATTACCTGCTGTGTTATAAACCTTATTTATAAACATATACATTACATGTATTCTTGAATGTACACTGTGAATGACGAACACAGTCTAACATTATCAATGAAGTTTTGGAGATAAGTTTGCTCTGACTTAGTCTTGAACATCATCAAATTTTGTTCAAAAACATTTTTAAGTTGCAAAAAAGTTTGAAATTGTAAAGAGATAAACAGCTGTACTGCTTTTAAATTCCAGTATTTGTACACTACACTATACATACTGTACGTGTACTATCGTGCACAAAAGACGTGTCCACTACCCAGCCCCAGTGAGGGTTCGAATAGCCTTGAGTCTGAAGTTTCGAAACAGCTGGGGGAAATGCTATGGTCGGCCAACAGATGTCGCCCACTGTAGTGTGTGGGAGAGGGGGGGGGGGATAGAGGAGGTGAGGGCTTGATGAGAGGCAGGTTTATTTATTATTTGTACCACCATAATTTCAAGCTGCCTTTTTAACTACGTTTTGTCTTACAGTTGTTTCTTTATGGTTACGAATTCATGGAACAGGTGCAGTGCCCTGAGTGCTTATTGCCGCTCAGGTCACAATGATACTTTATAGAATGGAATATAGTTAGGATAAAAGTGAAATATTCAAGGACCAGGGTGATGCAAGGATCAGGGTGTAGGGCCTTGGTCAGCTAGTTTTACTCAGCGACCACGTCACAATTTTGTTGTTATTCCGACAGAGATTATGGTAATATTTATTTATATTCCACCCATCCTTTGCTTAATAAATATTTGTGATAATATGCAATATTATATAATTATACACTTATGTTAAAAAGAGTGGAGTGAAAAAGTTATCAGTATTGTAAAATAGTATTCAGACTTAATCTAGGTGACTGTTCCAATTCTTCCAAGTTCCAACCACTGCCCCTCATGACCTTGAAAGTCTGTGTGTGTGTATGGGGGGTGGGTGGGGGGCAGGTGCGGGGACTGGCCGCCCTTCACAACACACACACAACTACACCACCCCCACTACAGCAACGCTCAGTGACCCACATCGAATCCATGTGAACTTTGTTTCGGGTTACCGTCACCTCCACGCATTCTATACATCCCATTCTCAGCTCTTGCTGATAGAGAAGAATAAGGCTTTGGCCAACCTCTCCTCTCATAAGGGAACGTGAGGTGGCCGTGGCAGCATTATTCATGGTCTTGTATGAGTTCTCCTAAACCCATAACTGGAACACCCACAGTGAAGACCCAGGAGTTAGACAACTCGTCATTAGGTCTCCAGTGTTTAAACACCCCACCACAATATGCAAGCTTCATATATTTTGGAGTGTGCTCAGTTACCGTTAATATTGTGTGCTGAACATCATGAGCATTTCAATGATGGTAGCAATTGTAACTATATAATTATATTGTGTTATAAGACAACACATTCCACGACGTGTCATACAGATCATTGTATACAACGCAATACATAATTTGTGTCTGTTAAGTTACTTTGTTATGAATTTTCATGCGATATAGTTTAAGACATCATTGAGGACATGGATTTAAGATAACACTGTAGGCGAGTAAATATATATTAATTGTATTTACAAACAGTACTAAAATCCAAACAATACACCAATACACACATCTTAGTATTTGGTCCAGCCACCCATTGCATTCAGGACTTCATCAAGGCGATTAGGGATGGAGTCGACCAGCTTCAGGCACACCCCGTATACTCTCCCACACATCGTAAGGTTTGGCCTCTATTGCTGCACAGGTTCGCTGCTTCCCAATATCCCAATCACGTTTCATCATGGCCCAAATATGTTCAATCGGATTAATATCACATCCTAGTGTTGGCCAGTCGATGACCTCAATTTCAGGGTGATCCTGGAGGTAGTCCTTCACTATGTTGCTGGTATGAATGGGACTGTTGTCATGAACCAGCCTGATAGTGTGGGGGGCTGGAACTGCCATAGCCCGGACTGTAGGAATTAGCACTTGCTCCAGGATGTTTACATACTGCTCACCAGTGAAACGGCCATTGATCTTGACCAGTTCACCTGGCCCATGTGCCCACATCCACCCCCAGAATGACTCTTGACACCCTACCACTCACTGTGCGATGTTGAATGTGTTTCTCATGGTAGCGTGTGTTGGGAGGCCGCCAACACTGCATTGCTTCGGCTCCCACTGACCTGCACACCGTTTCATCTGTAAATATAATGGTTCTCCAGTATTCTTCTCTATGTGGAAGGTGTTCCAATGCAAAGCCGAGTCGGCACTCCTTGTGAGTAGGTGTTAGCCACCCTTTGTGAGCTGGAATATGTCAGTCGATCCCGGCTTCATGAAGTCAGCGTCTCGTCGTCATGTGATGGCAGTTGAGGCCCAGATTTCTTGTATGCTCCACTGATGTTCGCATTGGATATGCTGTTGCAGCTGCCACGATCATGGCGTCCATCCTTGCCGACGTTATTCGTGACCTTCCGTTTCGAGGTTTCGTCTCCACTGAGCCCTCTTCCTCCCACCGGCGGATCCACCTCCTAATCGTCTTGGTGCTCCTCCCCACTTCGAGAGCAATGTCCGGCACAGTTGCCCCGGCTCTCCACATCCCGATGATTTGGCCTCGCTCAGCAATCACTGCCGACGAATTTGCTCGTCCTGCAGGCATATCTGAAATGGCAGAGTAATATTATGTTTTGGTAACTGATGCAGGCTTTTATATACTAGAGTAAATTAATGGTATTAGTAACACCTACAGGCAGGTTAAGTATTATTACTCTGACATAACGTTTTGGTAAATCTTTTAGGATCAACTGCCCAAAAAACCCTTCCTATTTCATGTATTCATAGTGAACTGCAAGTGGATCCTTCCCCCCCCCCCCCCCCACCCCCCCAACCTCCACCACCACCCCTGCGACTGTAGGGTGAACATTCGCCGATAATCATCATCAAGATTTAGTTTAACCAGACCACTGACACCCATTTGAGTCTCTCCTAGGGCTGGCCAGAGGGATTAGTTAACATATATTTCTGTTTCTATAATTTAGTGTTATATTGTTTGGAGGAGATTACAGTATTTCAAAAAGGTCAAACCTGAACTTAGGGAAAATTTTGGGGTCTCTGCTAAAATATCTTACATTGTCGGGTTAGTGAAGCACATTGTTCGATACCTATTATAAATAGGGCATTCAATGAGAATATGTTGGACTGTTATTTGTGTTCGGCAGTTGGAGCATATAGGTGGGGCTCCATTAGAGGAAGACATGAGTTGGCCATGCGTCAATCGCGTATGCCCAATTCTTAGACGTTTCAGAATAGTTTCGTGATGTCGAGATGATTGTTTTGATGGTGACCAAGGATAAACTGATGATTTGATCATTTTTAGCTTATGACTTGTTGGTTCATTTTCCCAGGACTTTTGCCAATCGTCAAATATTAATTGTTTATAGGTAGTCAGCCTCGCTGATAATCAAAATATGTGGTTTTTTTACTGCTTTACATATTTCATTGACAAATTTCAGCAATGACATATTCGTCCCAGATTACATATAACTGTAATAGGTTACATTACGTTAGGGTTCGTTATATAAAAACGTTTTTCTTCATGTTCATCGAGTCGTTCTGAATTCCATTTCTGCTCAAAATACTACATTACCCAACCCAAACTGCCAGGTTGCAACTGGGGGTGTAACATAACCGAGTAAGTTAACGTGCGGCAAATATGACCACCAAACGCATAGCACATCAAACACCATATTTTTATGGTGAAGTTAACTAAGGAGCTCATATAACAACTGTCATATAATTATAATAGGGTGTCCCACTAATTACAGCAGATATTTGTAGAGGTGAAAGAATATGTGATTCTGAGTATAAAACTTCAATACATATATGGATTTTTCGGTTTACATTTAGCCGTGAGGTGGATTTTACAAATTACGCAAGGCAACCATTACAAACGGTGGAGTCGAGGCGGGAGATACCGATAGCGATAGCGAAATATAGCAAAGGGGGAAGAAGGTTTAGTAGTGAAAGAATGTGGGTTAAACGGAACAGACTTTCAGGAGGAGAGAAAGTGTGTGGCCTTCTGCCCACTGCATGGTATTGGTAGGTTGGGGTGACTGGGGCGATGGGAGGGAGGAAAGGATGTGGAGAAAAGAAGGCGAAAGTAAATGGAGGGCCCATCCCTATTTGGGTGGGGTGCACCTCATCTTTTATTTGTTTGGAGGGCCCATTCATTATTTTTTCTGAGTAGGGTTACACTTTTTATTATAGATAGAGGGAAACGGATGGAGATAGAGACGTGGTGGCTATAATTTTTGGTTGGGGTAGGGGGGTGGGCATGGGTGTTGCTTGTTTTTTCCACATATCTTAATCCGACTCAAGTTACGTGGGATTGACCTTTGTTGTAAAGGTTTTAACTCTAAATACGAGGGGGGGAGCCATGTCGTCGGTTCTGTGAGTGTTCATTACAGTAGTCCAATTCGTCGCCATGGGTAGAATAGGGGGAGGGGGGGTGTGTTGGGGAATGCAGGGGAAGGTAATGTGATGGGATGGAATGTTCGATTGATTTTAGTCTTGGGGGAGGGATGAAGGGAAGAGGTGGGGAAGGGAGAAGTGGAATGGGGGGATGGTGGAGGGGGAGTGTGGGGAGAGAATAAGTAGTTGATTAGTGTTTAGGTGTGGTAACCCACGATGCTCAAATTATGAGGTTTAATAGTTGGGTGGGTAGAGGCGGGGGGGTATGGGGGGGGGGAGGGAGGCTAGGCGTGCAGTTGGAACTTGTGAACGTATGATGTTGTTTAATGCAAGTTATGGAACAATACAGTATCTTCAACGGGTTTTCACGCTATTAATAGGCCTTATGTAATCCACCAATATGGATTACAACAGCACACAGTATGGCTGCAATTGGTAAGAAAAATAAAATATACCATGACAAAATTTTTGCCCTGCGTAGTTTTTACAACCCACCTCACGCCTGAAGTAAACCGAAAAATGCTTATGTGTATAGAAGATTTTCAACTCAATATCACATATTCTTTCACCTCTACAAATATCTGCTGTCACTCATGGAACACCCTGCAATAGTATAAGGACGACATGGGCTATGCTGACAAATTTATCTGACTTACCTGTTGGTGATGGCGATGGTAGGAATGAGACCTCGGTATGTTTCAGTGTTCGACATCACCTCCTTCCCCTGGTGTGGGTGGCGCCAACCTTGGTAACAACTTGTGTATTCTCCGTGACTACCATAGCTGGTTTAATTACTGGTGTGCCCATCAGTCGCACTGTCGTAACCATGAACAGCAGAGATATGGTCGTTGTAGTGCT